TGTACATAGCAATTAGCATACAAATATACAAGTAATACCTCCCATCTTTCAGAAAGATGATAACGAGACTAAATTTGGAACAGCACTCGGTGCTACAATCTTTTGCAGGCTTCATTTAACATCCAAATTTAAAAAAAATACTTACAAATTTAGTTTAACTTCCATGCACTGACCGTCTAAAATGTTTTACTCAATTAAATCACTTATAAGGTAGTTATAAATAAATTTTCAGTGGTCAATTAAGCGGGTAAAAATCGAGACGAAAAATACTAGGTAATTTATTTCCATCTGCCCAAATGTTGTTGGAGAGAATTATCTCCTGCCTGTCTGGTGGCGAGATATAGCAGATACTCGATGAAATAATCGAGGTGCATGCAAGTTGGACCAAGCACCATAATTATAAAAAAAAAGTAATTAGAAAGATATTTCTATAATACGCATTAGTCAGTAACCTGCTAAAAATAATTAACTAACCCTGGCTTAATTACACTAAAAGGAAAAAAGTTACACGGTTATAGTGTTTATAACCACAAATGCTTGAGCATAGAAGTAATAGAGAAATCAGTGCACAATCACTTACCAAAACATTATGTTTAAAAAGAATGCGAGATTGATGAGCTGGTGGATTGGGAGAAAAGAACCCATAGGGATAAAAGAAAGCAAAGACATTTGGATTTCTATGATGAGGTATAATAGTTTGCTGGAAAGATCAAAACTCCAGACCCCACAAGAGTTGAAAATTTGTGGTGTTCGATTGATTCTTGAAATTATTCAGTCTACGAAGCTCCATTTTCTAGCAAAGAGAGCAAAGGTTAAAGTCAAGTAGTGGAAAGACTTGCTGTATGGAGTAGCGGACAGTGTTGTTTGTGAGTGAGAATGACTAGTTGACTTTTGGAGCCCTTGCATTTATTTAAAAGAAATGTTGCAAAAGTCAAATAATTTTATGTTGACTACGGCTTTTTTAAATAAAACTTGTATAGTGATTTTTATGTTGTTTTAAATATATATTCCCAGCGTTTCAGTTTATGTGAACATTTTTGCTTCGTTCCAAAAAGAATGACTCATTTCTAAATATGAAAATAATTTAGCTTAAATTTGCAATTCTACCCTTAATGAGAAGCTTTTATAACCACACAAATATTCTGAACCCTTTTTGACTTGTTTAAGACCACAAATTCTAAAAGTCTTTATTTTTTCTTAAACTTCGTGTCCAGCCAAACAGGTTCACATAAATTGAAATGGATAGAGTAGTACTTAGTAGGTTACTTACAAAATAAAATATTAATACCAAATTTACACACACAAAAAAAAAAAAGAAGAGATGTACTAAACACTCATGTTAGCATGTTTGGCCAAATTTTTACTATTGGCTTATTTATCGCAGCACACGGAGTCCCCGTCTTATACAATTATTGTATTCTGTCTATTGTCTATTCCAGACAGTGTCATAGTAGCATTGTATATTCTAGTATATGCTCATGCAATTATGATACCGAATTTTGAGGTTTCTAGTGGATATTCAAAGTTGTACCTAATATTATTATCACTTCATTTTATGTATTATTCATATTCAGTATTTTGGTAAAGAAGAACGTATATTTCCATGAGTTCTAAATTTAATTCTATTTATTTAATGAAATTTTTATTTTAAAAGTTAAAATAGATAATTATTTTGGAGGTTCATGTGTTGTCTTGTTTAGACAACATTATTGGGTGCCATCATGACCTATTATATGATTTGGGTCGTGTCATAGAATTAGTTAGCATTAACTTAAGCTGTAGTTATAGTGTTTGTTAGCTTGTATAAATAGTAGGTCATTTATATTTTCTGTACTGTAGCACAACATTTCAATCTCAGATAGAATGAATCATTTCTTCTCTGCTCTTCATCTTCTTTCCTTTCATTTGCTAGCCCTCATAGCTGAGCTTCATTAACAGAATAAATAAGAAAATTGGTTATAATTTAGTATTAAAAGTCAATTAGTAAAAATGTGAATTTAAAACAATAAAGATAAAATGGTACGAGAGAAGATGTATTCTAAGTGAGTTGTTATTAATTATATTTTATTTATTTATTGATGGTAGGCTAGAAACCCGTATTATAACCGTAGTATTGCATTATAATTACTGCATTTTACGTATGTTTGAGTTTAAATGAAAATGAATTATACTTATTACGTGTTTTATACCTTGCAGGAAGTGATTTCGAGTTAAGAAGTTAATTTGGAGCTAAATCCAACAAGTTGGAGCTTTGAAGTCTAAGTAAAAACCCAAGAAATTAAGTCAGGATCACGTTCGGGGGTCGAGAACCAAATTCGGATATCAAAAAGTGGACGAAAAAATTTACTCCGAAAAAACAACACAGTTGTGTCGCTTGGGGCACCTCATGGGGCACTGCATGGCGCGACACGGCTGTGTAAAAGTGGTTGTCTGGCAAAAAAAGTCTGCTCTCTGAATTTCTCACATGCGCGTCTGTACAATTTTGTTAGAGTTATTTCCTGTTTCGGCTAGGAAAGGGTAGTTTCGTCCGGACCCGTTCCTACAGGGTATAAATACACCAAAATATATTTTTGAAGGGACTTTTGACCTACGAAAGATTGGAGAACCAACCAAGGCAAGAAGACACAAGATTTTATCAAGATTTCAACCAACGATCAACACAATACGGGAGTTTGTATCGAATCATTATCATTGATGTCTTTTTTTTATTTTTAAACATTATTGAAATGACTGTTTCCATAGCTATGGACTAATTTCTAAAAGGGTATTGACAGATATGGTATTTTGATAATTTGGTTAGGGATTCGATTTTTAATAATTGTTGGAATTAATTGATGGAGCTTTAATTCGTATTGTGAAGTTATTTCTTATTTTACTTAATCGAAAAAGGAGCTTGATATTGAATTTCTTTAAATCTTATGCTCTAGTTTAAATTCGTGATTCAAATAGGTAATTGAAAGAGCCTCTTGAATTGTTAATCGAACTAGAAAATAGAAAAATATTCGAGAAGTTACCCTTTAAACCAGAACCAGCATTTTATTTGTTGTAATTGTTTACTGTGTTTTAATTGGATTAATTAATGAGATTAATATTTAATCAAAAGAGGAACATTAACTTCAAGTGTAATCTAATTATCTGTTGAATTCGAGATAATCAATAGTATTATACAGTGAACTAACTCGAGAATTGGATCTCGAGTCAATTATCTTGCACTCGCCTAGTCAATTACCCTTATTTCTCTCATTGATATTTCTTCGTTGCTCATCTGCTATCTTTTGTGATCAACTGTTAATTGCTTAATTTTTAGTAGTTAATCGTAGCTGATAACCATCAAATCAAGTGTTAATTTTTCTGGATAGTAATCAATTAAAAATTATTCGAATACTGTTTAAATCCAATCCCTGTGGAGACGATAATTAAACTATACTATCTTTGACTATCGAGCAATAATTTTGCGTTGTATTTTGCGCTCGTTAAATTTTGGCGCCATTGCCGGGGATTGGCAATCAATGGTGTTTAAAATAGTTTTTAGTTCTAATTCAGGAACCAATTTTTACTTTAGTGTATTCACATTTTCTCACTTGTGTGCAGGATACAAGTTTAATTTCTCTGGTGTATGACTCGATTTTCTTCAAAGAAAGTGATACCCTACAAATCAGAGTTGGAGAAATACCTGCGACAACTGAGAAAAGAAATAGAAATGACGATCTTTGAAGAAGAAGCCATTTGAGTGAAAGAAAAGCTTTTCTCTTTGAAGGGAGTTAAAGAAAAACATTAAGGCAGATTTTAGAAAGCTTGCAAAATTGTGGAGTATAAGGGAAGATGATTGATGCGTATAAGTAAAAGTTTTGGCGGCTAAATTTATGGCCATAATTACCTCGATAATCGGCAAAGTTATGCTGAATCATAGGATGACGCGTGTTTGGGGCATTAAATATGGAGAGACATACGTCTAATCAACCGTCAGAAGCCTTCTGAGGGAATCATAGTAATTCCCGCCAAAAGAGTGTTTCTATCAACTTCCTAGTGATACAAGGGTACATCACCGGAAAGCAGGGGGACTATGTGTATAGGGTAAAATATGTCATGCCAAGTGGCCGTTTAAAAGAATGACACGTGAAACCGAAGACAATTATCCCATTTGATATCGGAAAGAATGACATTCATAAAGAAGTAATAAATAGCCTCCGCCCCGTGGCATTAATGAAGAATATTCCACAGCATTAAGTACGCTGCCCGTTACAAGAAATTTGACATTTATGCTTACCGTTACATCTTCATCAATGGCCCTCATAATTGACATTAAAGAAGGGCACGATCCTAGGACCTCGTTCCCTAGACGTAGCTATAAATAGCGAGCTCTGTTATTATTGTAGAGGAGACGAATTTTCTAGCAAACCGACACTACAATCTACTCAAAGCTCTATACAATTTTATCTTCTTATTTTTTGTTCTTATTACTGTTGCGCCCGGAGGCTTCGCTATCGCAATTTTTATTTCTGTCATTTCGTCTTCATATCAAGGCTAAGTGTAATATATTTTTTCAATTATCTTATTATTTTAGGATCAAATTAATTTATTTGTTTAGAAATCACGTATAAATTTAACTGTAGCGTTTTACGGCAAACAATTCTAGGACGCGAACAATCAAATATGTGAAGCGTGCACAAGGCATTCTTAGGATATATTGTTGATCTAATAGTCCAAAACGAAATGTTTGGTAGTCCAATGAGATTTTAGCCCTTCATATTAGCACAGAACGTCTAGAGAGATGGACAAAAAGCTTTTCGGCAGCAGGCAGCATTTGCATGTAAATTGATGTGGAAGGTTGAAGCTAGCCACGTTTACCTCTCAGGTAATTAACTTTCATCATCTACCTAATTAATTAGCAGAGATTCAACACGTATTTGCCATGCAAAAGCATCATATTTGCTATAAATACTATTCAAAATCTAGTTCACCATCACATCCACAACAATTATATTTCACTAGTTGTTGTCATGGGGAAGCTTTCACTTGTTGCTTCTCTTCTCTTGTGCTTGTTAGTCGTTGCAAGTGCCAACACCGCCACCTCAACAGAGGATGAGCACGAAAATCAGGGGTCGCAAAGGTGCCAAGAGCAGATCCAGAGGCAGAGGTTGAACCACTGCAGGTACGTACGTAGTGACGAAGACACCCTTTGGAAAGGGATCTCATCCGACAACACTAATTCACAAAATTTTATTTTTTTAAATTATATGCATGTGTAGTTGTAAATATATCTTTTTCAAAAATAATCAACAATAAATTGGCACTACATGAAAATAATACAAAGGAAACCTAAATTAATAGAGTAGTATAAAATAGGATATAGTTTAATTAGTTTCAAATTCACTTACAGCAACTTGAATGTAGCAACATAATAAGTCTAATAATATCACTTGCACAATACATTATACGTTACTGATTGCAGGATTATAATGACAATGCTTGAAAATAAAAGTATAAAGCAAATATAAATTTGAGACAGAAATAGAGTCTTGAAACCAACATAGTTTATTAGATTCAAGTTCACTTTCAGCTTAAGTGTAAAATTTTTAGTCTGATATCACTTCGGACAAAAATTTGCGTACAACACTAATTGCAGGATTATATATATATATATACCCTGCTTGAAACCTATATTGCGCGAACAGCTGCCGAAGATCCAAAAATACATTATTTTTTAAGGATCCCACACATATCCGTCGATATTTTCGGAAAGTCCGGTAAGAAACTAATAGTATAAAATTAAGTATAAATCAACTATATAAAATCTTGCTTATGGTTGATCCGCAGGATACATGTACCTTTCAAGAAGCCGCCAATATTATGGCGACGAGCTGAGCATGGTGAGAGACGACGATGAAAGCAACCAAGGACAGCAGCATCTCCAACAATGTTGCCAAGAATTGAGGAACATGGACACCCAATGCCGCTGCGAAGCTCTAAGGAGGAGGAGGAGGATGATGCAGGAACGTGGTAGCCGAGGCCAAGAGTCTGAGCGCATCATGGAGAGAGCTCGTTACCTCCCCCGTACGTGCAACATTCAGCCTACTCAGTGCCGCTTCTAATTAAACTTAATAAATTAAAAATGGCCCTTAAATAATAAACCACACCATCGTGTGTTATAAGGCAGAGGTTAATGCTTTTGTCTATCAAGGTAGCTAATCTTTTATTTTAATTTGAGGTTTGATCTTATGGATAGCTAAGTATATGTAAAGGCTTCAATGAAATGAAGGAGACTTGTTTTGGATGATTAAATGTCAAGTTTTGGATTCAACTGCATGATATTAGCTTTGGCTCGAATCAGTATATATGTTGAAAAGTTCATTATATAAGTACAATAATCAATTTCAAACCCAATAAGTTCTTATAATAAATGAGTTAAAATCTCGATATTATAATTCCGATATAGCGACAATGGAGAATGATCATACCTCGATCTGGTTTCATGAACTCCATGCATCATGGTTGCAGTGGATCAGAAGTCCTGCGATGAGCGCTTATTAATTTGTTCTATTCTTTAAAGGAAAATAGATAAATAAAGAAAAATATCAGGAACGAAGGAGAGGAAAAAGAAAATATGTATTTGTCACTAGTGACTGGAACAAATCATTTCCAAGTTCCAAAAACCTTGGTTAATTTCGGCGTTCAATACTATGAAATGGTTCCTAGATCCAAAGTGCCTCTAACTGTATTTTTACAGAAGAGTGTTTTTATTGAAATGGTTCCTAGATCCAAAGTGCCTCTAACTGTATTTTTACAGAAGAGTGTTTTTATTGAAATGGTTCCTAGATCCAAAGTGCCTCTAACTGTATTTTTACAGAAGAGTGTTTTTATGGGAAGAAGTTATTTTTTTCTGATTTTTGCTCCTACTCAAAGTTGGGTTAAATAACTTAATTTTGAAAAAATAAAATGCTTTATTTAATAAAAAAAATACTTTTGGCCAAAACGAAACTTGTTCAAACATGTTATTAAAACTATTTTTTAAAATTTTGGATAAATACTAATTACTGATCAAAGTAACTTTTAAATTAATTATTCAAATATAAATTATCATCGAAAATATTTTTTTTGAAACATATTTTTAAGAAAAACATTTATTCAAAATAAGTTGGTTTTATAAGTTTTGGCCAAACAGGCTATTCGATTGCTCAAAATTCTGCCGGCCAAAAGAAGCCACAGGTGAGGCCCTTTTCTCCATTTACGTCCTTCACCATCTCTTCTTCCCCTTAATTCTTTCAGACGAAGAGAGCAATCAGCAATGGAAGCTTCAAAGAGTATACCACACGAAATCGGTGGAGTGAGAAGTGATGCTTTTCGATTCGGTCTTCATGGTGTTAAGAGTGACATCGTCGGATCTCATCCTCTCGAATCTTCCTACCACTCCGTACTCTCCTTTCCATATCACACTTTTTTTTTCTCAAATTATTTGTTTGAACAAATTAGAGCGAGAAAAAACTGAATCTCAGTGGTCGTGGTAGCATGCCCACTCTGTCACTTACAATAATGTTATTCTTATCACACTGTTCATGTATAGTTCTATTTTTAAGAAGATTTTAAGTTTTGTGCAAAATATTTTCACAATCATTTAAAAGGTAATTGCATGTAATATAGTTAATAGATTGATTAATAACCTAGAATAAATAGTAAGTAGTATGTTATGACAGTTTAAATTACATGGATGGAGTAAATATTCATTAATTAGTAAAGTTTTCTTTTGGACGAATTAGAGTGACAAAGAACTGAATTTTAGCAGATTTTGGTAGCGACGTCACTCTGTCGCATATGCTATACCTTACTTTTAAGTAATCTTAGCAAACTATTAATGTTAAATGCCATAATTGTGTTTTTACTATAATTTTCAATATATGTTCCTTAATTTTTTTTAACTTTGGCAGGCGAAGGTTAGGCAAGAGGAGCTGAAGAGGAAGATCCTTGCCAACACTTACGGGTCGGCTTTACCTATGAAGTTGGAGCTCGAGCTCCAAATTCTTTCAAGGTTGGCATTTATTTTAAGTAATTTGAAGTTTATTTTTTGATAAAGAGGTAACTTTAAAGTTTTTTCTCTATGTCAGTGTAGAATAGATGTGAAATTTAAAGAATCTAGCCTTAGAGTGCTCGTTAAAAGGCAAATTATTGGGTATTGGAATGAAATAGGACCGAGTACGGTGGAACAGATGTAGGAGAATTTGAAGTGAGACGTAGTTGATTAATTTGCTTGTAGTGTATTACTTTAGGGGAACCTTGTTGTAACAGTAAAAATTGTCGTCGTGTGATGAGGAGGTCATAGGTTCAAGCAGCGGAAACTGCCTCTTGCAAAAATGCAAGGGCTGCTTACATAAGACCCAATGTGGTTCGGGCCTTCTCCTAACCTCGTGCATAACGGGAGCTTAATGCATCATCCTACCCTGTTGTTGGAATGAAATGGCCCCGAAGAGGGTGGAATAGTTGTAGGAGAATTTTTGATTGAGATATAGTTGATTGATTAGATAATAGTCTATAACTTTGTTTGTATAACCTTATGCGCTGATTTTTCTGATATATAAAGAATTACTTGTGCTAAAGCACTTGCTAGCTATGGTTTTTCATTGTGGGATATTTTCTATTGGGCGTATAAATTTTTGATTCAGTTATTTTCCTATTGGGAAAATTTATGTGCTTTTCATGTTCATCATTTGTTACTCATTTCTTCTTTGTTCCTTGATTCTGACCGATTAGACGCTGTTCTTGTCAAATCAATGGGATATTTATATAATCGAAGATGTGACTTAGTGTCAATGAAGGGGAGGAGAACAATGGTCTTAAGTTTAACCCACCGGAGACAAAAAAAAAATACTAGGTGATTTCTTTCCATTTGCCCAAACCTTGGCGGGCAGAGTTACCTGGTACCTGTACTAATTCGAGGTAGCAGGTATGCGGTGGAATAGTCGAGTGCGCACAAGCTGGCGCAGACACCACATCATAAAAAATGGGATGTTTCTCTAGGTATTGTATTTGCCTAGCTAGCAGCTCAATTGTGTGGTGAGCTGGGTAGGTTTCTGAGTTAAAATTCTGGAGAAAGTACACTATGGATTTTCATTCATAAGTCAAGTTTATTTCTTCCTGTCTGACACTGAGAATTTGGGCATAGGATATAGCGACATGAGTCTGCTACTTATACAAGACTCGAGTAAAGGCCTTTGAGTCTCTTAAAATTCTAGATTGATGTTTCTCATGCTTGTATGTAGTTCAAGGCATTATATAGAATCTTTTCCTAAAACATTATTTGAATAATTAAGTTTGCCCTGAGGTTTATTGGCTTAAGAACATCCTCGTAGTGTCTCTCTTAGGGAAATAATTTTCAAATTAAATGGAAAAAGACTCTTTTTGGACAATCAGAACGTGATGCATTCTAACCTGTCGTGGAGGATAGTTTTGCTGCTCGCTTTTGCAGAAAGTGCACCTTAGGCACCATGACGATTTAGCTTACCGTAGTTGCCTGATGAAGGCATCTTTCTTGGTAAACTATGGCTTACTGATGTCATTGGCAGCTGGCTTGCATTTGGGTTATATAAATTATTCTGCATGAAGGAGCATTATAAGCACTGAGTGAAAAATGTTATTACACTGTAGTGTTGCTGATGCATCTGATTTTTGTCAGATAGTTTTTGCAACCCCCCTATGTAAGCCGAAGAGAAAATTTAACAATTGCTGGTAATGTTGCAATTTAAGTGACCTGACTTTGAAACATTAGCTATTAGCACTAATTATAGGATGCTAGTTGCCACTACTTAAACTCCTTGGAGAAATAACAGCAGATTATCTAAAATTTTCTATACCTTCCAATCTTATTAATGGAGAGATTGCAAAAGCACCTAAAAAACCTTTTAGGTTGTTGGAATCAACACACACTCTTATGCTCGTGAATGTGTGGAGCAGATCTAAAGCTCTGATCTAAATAAGTGAGTAGAGGTATAATGATTCTTCCGTGTTGGTTGTTGATTGTTTCAAGTACCTTGGGTCAATTGTCCAGGGGGATGGGGAGATAGACGAGGATGTCATGCATCGTATAGGGGTGAGATGGATGAAATGGATGTTAGCGTCTGCAGTCCTGTGTGACAGGATTGTGCCACCGAAACTTAAGGGCAAGTTCTATAGAGCGATGGTTAGACCGGCCATGTTATATGGGGCTGAGTGCTGACCAGTCAAGATTTTCCATATCCATAAGATGAAAGTAGCAGAGATGAGGATGGTGAGATGGATGTGTGGGCACACTAGGCTGGATAAGATTAGGAATGAAGATATTCGGGAGAAGGTGGACGTGACTCCTATAGACGGCAAGATGCGGAAAGCGAGGCTTAGATGGTTCGGGCATGTGCGAAGGAGAAGCCAAGATGCCCCGGTTAGGAGGTGTGAGCAGTTGGCTTTGACGGGTATGAGAAAAGGTAGAGGACGGCCTAAGAAGTATTGGGGTGAGGCAATCAGGCAGGACATGGCGCTACTTCAGATTTTCAAGGATATGGCTCTTGATAGGAAGGTGTGAAGGTCGAGCATTAGGGTTGAAGGTTAGGAAGGAGTCAAGCGTCTTTCTTCCTTCGTACCGGTGATGGGGCTAGTCTGTTAGGGTATTGTCTTGGATTATTAGTGGTGTATGTTGTGTCCATATTATTTTTCCATTTTTTTCATAGTACTGTGGCATGATTGTTGTTGTTATTGCTTTTCCATCTATTTTCTGTTTCCTACGATGCTTATATTATTTTTCTTATTTTTGTTGTTGTTGTCACATATTCTATTGTCTATTTTCGTCTTCTTGAGCTGAGGGTATCTCGGAAACAGGCTCTCTACCGCTCCGGGGTAAGGGTAAGGTATGCCTACATTCTACCCTTCCCAGACCCCACTTGTGGAATTTTACTGGGTTGTTGTTGTTTGTTCGTTGTGGGATTATATTGGGTCGTTGTTGTTGTTGTTGTTTGTTCGTGTTAGTTGTTGATTGGTGATAGGGGCTGATAGAGGTAAGTAGAGTTTGCATAGGATTTTTCTATGAAAGGGAGCAAAGTGGGACTTTCTCTGCAATGGTTTAAGTTTTTTATACAAAGGTGAGTAAGGAAGAAGAAGCATCACGTGGCAGTCCAAATGAGACAGAAAATTAACAGACGGAATTTTTTTGTTCAATTTTGCAAACTTGCTGATGTTTGTGTTAGGGATTTTGTGGGATATCTTTAATTCTGAAATCAAACATAAAGGGCGTATTAATGTGACTCACATTATCTACATGATCATATGTTCTTTTCCTTATTTTTTTCCCTTTAATGGTGAGATGTTGTACATCCTTCATCGGTAGACTTGTATGGTGTTTGGAGGTCTTTTGTTCTTTTTGAGTTTTATTTCTTTTGATTGGTAGGGTTTTTGGCTCTTTTTACTTTTGGAGGAATTATTTCTTGAGTGGAAAAAGAAAATACCGTCTTACTTTAGTATTAAGTTAGATTTCTCAAAAAGAAATCTATTAGCATGGAGAAGTGGGTAGCCCCCAAGGTTTTGATCTAATGGTAAGAGTGCAGCCCATGATGTGTGTGTTAGGCGCACATCACGAGTTTGAGCCCTATCGCAAGCAAAAGCTTGATATTTAAGTGGAGAAAGGTAAAGGGGTGGATTATCCACCAAATTTCAAACCGTGTGCCACGGGCTCTCAGAAAATTTTTGGTCATTAAAAAAGTATGGAGAAGTTGGTAACTCTATTGAAATATGCAAGTGTAAATCAACTTTATTTTGGTGTTTCTTTCTTCTTTACATAGAAACGTCTTTGACAAAGGTCATTTATTTGGTCTTCAAGGTACCATTTCTATGTATAAGATCCTTTTTGATTAGTCTCAGAGATCTCACTGCCAGGTTCTGTTATGTAGATTTTTTTTTTACTGGCAAATATACTTTCTCTGGTGAAATGCGAAATGTACTGTATTTCGAGGTTACATAGCTTATTTTGTGTACATACATGATGCAACAAAGAAGCTGTTTAACCTCAGCAGCTATTGGGATCTGTTTTTTGAAACTCATTAATTCTAGTATTTGCAGATTTCAGAGGCCATCTGGAAGTATACCATCTTCAATGGTGGGCTTAGAGGCTTTAACAGGAGCTTTGGACGACTTTGGTTTTGAGGATTATCTAAATGGTACACATTATTTATGATATGCCGACTATTATGATTGACTATTGTTTCTCTTCACTGGATCTTGACTATGAATTTTCTTGGGAAATGCCTTTGAGTGATTTGACCTTCCTCTTGATCGCCATCTGCTAATTAGATACTTAATCAACTCCATTGGCTAATTGACTTTCAATTCTCCTTAATTAGTTCACGGTTTGAAGTAGCTGCATTATTTGACGAACAATAGTCTCTTTTGTCAAAGTCTGTGACCTGTACAAGCAACATTGTTTTGTCAAATTTTTTCGCTTTCTAGAGGTTTGTATGTAGAATGATTTTCACCTCAATAATTCTCTAAAGGGCAGAAGTTAGAAAATCCCCTCTGCATGGTTAGACCCCTATGAACTGCTCAAGTGAGATATTGTGACATTAGATTAGCTGAAACATGTTTCACGTGGCTCTCATGTTGTTGTGACTTGTGTGCTTGGATAGATTTGTTAAGACAAGAAAATTGTTCATGCACACCTAAGCAAAGCTCAACAGGTTGTTCTTTTAGGATCATCAATGCAGGGAATGATTAGTTTTCCCTAATTTGATGCTGTGACAATCGTTTGCTTTCAACTTGGATTGTTATTTTGCATGTTCTTGAAATGCCTGTACAGTGAACATTTGATGCTTCGTTAGGTTTACTTGCTGTTCGTTTGCCCGTGTTATTAAAATTTTATTCATAATACATATTGTTGTTGCTCTTGAATTCTTCTTCTTATTCTTGATAAATCCTGCAGATCCAAAGGATTCTGAAAGTTTCCGTCCAGCTGACATGCATCACGGCATGGAAGTGCGTCTTGGACTTTCTAGAGGACCAGTGTGCCCCAGTTTCATTTAAATCATTTGACGTTTCATTTCATGTTTTATAATGCTGCTGGAGTGTACCATTTCGAAGCTTTATATCTTGGTTATTCCAATATATTTGTGTTTGAAAAAGAGTGATAACCTATATGACTTTGTTTTATGTTGATTTTCCACTACACTAATTTGAATCACGCTCCTCAGTTTCTTATTAATATTGTTCAGAATGTGGTGAAAACTTGATTTACGCCATAACAGGCAGTGTTAGAGCTTAAAATTGATTCGCTGTGGTCTATTCTACTCGTTACTCGTTAGGGATGTTAAAAATATGGCGATCAGGACGTTAACGCCAAGCCAGCGGATAAGAACCAGTGAAGTTCTTTGTTGATCGCAGTTCATTTGAAATAAGAGATATGGCTATAGTATTAGAGACAAGTGCAAAGATAGTCATTCTCAGGAAAGCTATTTAGAGATTAGCCGGTACTTATTTTCTCCTCAAATTTTAGATTAAAAATCCTAACAGCAGAATAACTCAGGACATTTTGTCCTGAAAATTGAACTGAAATTTAGAATGCACCGGTTAATTTTTAAATAGCAGCTTTTAGAGTGGCTACCTGGTGTAATTTCTACTCTTTAATCAAAAGGAACAATAGTAATTGATGGGCTTTTATAGTACTTGTAGATGTAGATTTGTACTTAAATTTGATTTAGCAACGTGCCTTATTGAACATACAACTATGATAGTCGTGGGGCAAGGACTTCCACAAAGAAGGTGAAGATAGTCTAGAAAACTCTGCAGTTTCCTATTATTACAGTGAAAAGCTCAGAAAAATGCTAAATAAATGTTTCATTATGTTTGCTGTCACATTTCTAATGATCGGAAGAACCGCATTTGCTGCGCTGTTCCTTGAACCACCTGGACACTAATTTGTGCACCATTAACTCCAATAATTGAACCAAATACGAAAATTGCATATTTTTGTTAGTTTAACTATATGATATTCGATTCTTCTAACTCAACTAATCTGGATTCACATTGCATACGATCCACTGCAGAGGGAATTACCAAGAATTGTTACATTCACATAGCTTGAATTTGATACCTCTAGTTAAAGGTAGAGGGATCCAGAGGCGAACCTACATTGGAGGCAGAGAGGTCACTGGTACCCGGAAACTTCGGCAAAAACTCCATATATACTTGCTAATTTCTTCAAGAAATAGCCAGATATTAATAAAGGCCCTCGTACCAATTTTTATAAGCAGTGATAAATTTATACTGAATGTAATGGGCCCCGTAACTGTCGAATCTTGGGTCCGCCTCTAGAGGGATTGAAGACCCCCCCCCACACACACACTCATTTAGTAATAAAGCAGAATGACTTCAGATGGAATATGATAAAGAAAAGGGGTAACATGGGACATTTGAGAAAAGCACCTGGATGCCAAACACACAAATAGCAAGCAAGGCAACCACGATGAAGGCAGTAAAACTATCGATCCCTTTGTTTTCCTAGTAATGAAAGACTAGATACATAAATTATGTCGACTTGTTTTTCTATTAATACAAGGACTAAATAATGCAAATTGAGTGTCTACCAAATTGATTATTTTTGTTTTAATTGTGATTTTGGGTGTGGATCGAATCAGCTCCGTTTAATTGTCTTTCTTGACAATGAAGCTTTCGAACAAGTGAGTAACAGGATTACCAGTTGGGATTTTATTTTTTAAGAATAAATTTGATGCACCAATTGAGTGTCTACTAAGTTGAGTATCTTATCTTTGCTGAAAGAACCGACAAATAAGTGTAAGTGTCATTGATTAATGGAATTTAGTTTTTCTCGAGCATGTGTGAGATTGGACACATGAAAATAAAGTGTTCCATGTAGGGCCAATAGGCAAACTGTTTCTTTCTTTTTCTTTTTGGGGAGCGGCGATTACTCGCTTTCCTCTTTCGAATAATTCATGAGGTGAATATTTATAATGTATTCTTTTATTTGTGTAAAAGTTAAAGGGTGATGATAGAGGGTGGTTAAGTAGAGAAGTGATACACGTTTTTCTTCTAAAAAGTAATTAGCATTTCTTGCATTTAATCTACAGGAGGTTTTTTTCTTTTTCTTCTTCTTTGGAAATATTAGTTTTCAACGGAGAAATTTTTATAAAAATACAGCCTAACGCACAACATTTCATTTGCATACCTAATAAAGGGGCATTTGCATATATACCCATTTTTGAGGCCCTCATTGAATTTATACCCGCATTATACAAAACTTTGTAAAATGTCGCTTGGGTCTGAAGTAGTTCAATCTCTTCAATGCAATTTCGGAAATCAAATCTGAATTTCTCTTGTCCTTCAACTGCAATTTCATAAATTCAAATCTTAAGTAGTTCAAGCTCTTCAAAGCAACGTCATATTACGAATATAAAGTTCTTCTATCTTTCAATTGCAACTTCAGAAATTCGAATCTTAAGTAGTTCAATTTTCAATACAACTTTAGACAACTTCAGATTCAAAATTTGAAATCTTAAGTTGTTCAACTTTCAATACAACTTCAGATTCAAAATCTAAAGTTCTGAAACATAAGGTTGTTCTTTGATTTTTAACAATTCAACACACGATTCAACATCCAAATCTACTCCGAATGAGCTCAAATTTGAAATATAACTTTCAAATATCATAAAGAACAAATCTCAATCATCAAATTTTTAAAAGAACAATAAATTTAACAAATTCATTTTGCAACTAAGAAGAAGAAGAAACCCTAAACACAAAGAAGAAAGAGCAACAGGGAAAAAAAGAGAAAAATGTATGTATCTGAAGTTACTAAAAATTGGACATCAATTTAAAAAAAAAAATAAAAAATGATTGCAAATTCAATCGGTGGCGCAAAACTAGGTATCACATGAAAAATTTAAGCTAATAGAAAATATTGCAATTTGTAACCATGTAACCCAATAAATTATAGCCTATATACACAACACTTATGCTTTTTTCAACAAATTTTTAGATTTCATCCATCTCTATCCAACAAATCTTTCTCCCCTTTCACCTACATTCCTGCAACTTATTATGGTTTTTATCTTCTTATTTTACTTGATTTTTTTGTTTTCATTCCAATTAGATTTTTTTTGTTTTATTATGTTTCTTTCATTTTTCTATTTTTATGCTTATTTTTTGTCTAAAAGTCAACAACAATAACAACAACAACAACAAACTCAGTAACTTCCCAAAAGAAAAAAGTGCATACTATTATTGTTGTTGTTGTTGTTATTATTATTTGAACTTAAGCAACTCATGTACACCTGTATAGAAAATTATACACTAAAATACAGTGCATTTCTGTGGGCCGCATCCGCAGAATAAGTTTTGCAGATCGCAAAGTATTTCTCCTCTTTGACTTGTTGAGCTAGAGTACTCCTTTTTGAGTTAGATTTCTTCATTGACCTCAAATCCTCTAGCATTCCTGCAATTCACATAATTTTATTAGATTCGGAAACAAAAATCACTACTTTCGGACTATAACTAAAGCAAAAAGGTACTAATATATGGTTAAAATTCACACTTATCAACTCCCCCAAACTTAAATCTTTGCTTGTCCTCAAGCAAATAGATTAGTTCTCATCTCCCCTAAGTGAAAGGTCATTTCAAAGAGTCAATTGTAAGTCATTCATACTAGTTAGGACCAATAATTACCCACAATACTCATGCATTTTCAATAAGGTGATAAATTTTTCAAACATATGTGACTTGCATGTAACTCTAGTGTGACATTTGAGCTTGAAGAATTGGCTTCACTCATCAAGGACTCTTGTTCTTTCATGTAAATCATGATCGACTCCAAACTCTTCCTCCTCTACCTTCCATTTGCTATACTCACTTCAACATTTAACACTCAAATTCTAGAGCAATAAAGGATCCACTCTTCTCTCACAAAGGAGTGTCACAAGTAAAACTTCAAGTACCATAGGTTTTCCCTTCATGTGGATCTCCACTAATATAAGCTCACTCGGTTCAAAATCAAGTAAGACTTCTTTCGGGTTGTAATGAAGGCCTTTTGGATTGGGGTTGGCTACTATATGGGATGAGTGGTTATCCTTCTTTAAGCACTCCACTTTTCATTTCTTAGCTCACTTTGGCCAAACCCTTAGAGGCATTTCTTGGGGGCTAGAGAGACTTGCCATTACTCTGTATTGTTCATTTCTTTCTGTTTCTCCTTTGATGCTCATACTAGAGATACTTGCCTCATTTGCATTTTATCAATTTCCCTTTTTATTTTATTTTTGCATTTTCTTTTTGTTCTTTCTTTTCTTACTTTCTCTTTTTATGGAGATAATTTCTTTTCTCTCCTTTCAGTGCCTTGATAGCTCTTTTAGATTTCTCCACTTTTCCCCCAAACTTAGGCTTTGAGCCACTTATTACATATGAGTGTTAAGGAAGGTTCGGGTGTCAAAAGAAGATTATGATTTAACAGGTAAAAACTTGTAACATGATTACCAATAGAGAAAGGCTAAAAAGCTCAAAGGGGCTGACTAGGATAACGATCATAGGGTGACAATAGAAAGCTCAAATGGTCGAAGGATAGCCAACAATCATTTTTCAAACCAAGAAAACCTAGAATTTTGCCATGAAACACATTCGAGGCAAGTTCTATACTATTCACTCAAGTACTTGGACTAGCAACAAGAATTCACCTTACCTCTCATGCAACTAGACCGTAAAAGAAGATAGAGTCTAAAGCCCACAACAATCAAAATCAAGTTAAAAAATCACTATGGTCTATTCAACCATCTAATGATTATCAAAGTCAACTCAAGAACCTCAAAGTCACTAAATTAGAGCTAGTTCTTCTAAAAAAAATCTTGTCTCAAACCATAAGCATGCAGTTAAGTATGTTGGTGCCACATGAAGCATGAATGACTATTTTTCAGAGAATGACTTAGTTAGGGCGTTTATTCATTATTACTTACTACTACTACTGCCTAAACATGAAACTGACTCATTCCCTTAAGAAAGTTGTCACAATATCTATCCTCGGGAAGAGTCATCCAATTCACATAAAAGACCACCTTTGAAAAGAATAGTGGCATAAAGAAAATCAAAGGTTTATTACCAACACTAATAAAAAAAGAGCTACCAAACTAAATACAATTAAAGATAAACAACTAAAGATGCTAATAAATGTAGCAACTACTAAAGATTACAAAAAGTAAAATCATC